CCACGCCATCTGTGATGGATGCGATGCTGTAAGTGACACGCACGAAGCACTGGGTTTTGCAAGAGTTTGATTCTAATGACTGGAAACCACACAGTACATCACTGGGGTCCGTCACAAGTGCCTCGACTGCCCCGACTGGGATTACTGCGCCGAGTGTGCCGAGAACGCTCACTTCGTGCACCCGAACCACCGATTCGCAGCTATTTATGAGCCCCTTGCGGATCTTCACACCTCTTTTCTCTCCCAGCCTGTGCACATGGGCATCTGCTGCGATGGACCCTTGTGCAGTGCCTCTAATGCCATAACCTCCTACATCCGAGGCATCCGCTACAAGTGTGCTGTGTGTCACGATCTCGATTTCTGTGCCAACTGCGAGGCCAGCCCTGCCAATGACCATAACAAGACACACCCACTGATCAAATTCAAGACACCGGTTCGTCATGTCAGTGTCACCACGACTGGTGAGCACCAGGACGGCAAGCGTATGCCTGCCATGGGCGACCGATCCAGCACCATCTCCAAGGCTACTGAGACCGTTGGTTCTTCAGCCACCAACGCTGTCAATGCCGTGCAAACCGTCGTCGATGTGAAGCCTACTGAGGCAGATATCCCACCACTGGTCCCCTGCGAGAAGCCACTTGCCAAGTCTGAGCTTGATTCTGTCGTAGCTCTACCGGCTCCGACGACCGAAGTCAAGGATGAGGAGCTTCGTGCTGTGTTCCTTCGTGATACTGTTGCAGATGGTACCATCTTCCCCCCGAACCACGTGTTTGAGCAAACTTGGGTCCTTCGAAATGAAGGCGCTACTTCCTGGCCCGCTGGGTGCTGTGTCAAGTATGTTGGCGGTGACTACATGGGTCACGTTGACTCTTCTCACCCGGCTGGTATTTCTGAACTTGTCTCTGCCTCTGAGTCTACTATCTGCTATGCTCCTCTTGCTCCCGGACAAGAATACTCATTCACCGCTCTGCTCCGTACACCGATCCACTCGGGTAAGATGATCTCATACTGGCGTCTTACAACTCCTGATGGCATGCGATTCGGACACCGTCTGTGGTGTGAGGTCAATGTTCGAGCGGTTGCCGCTCCTGAAGCCAAGCCACAGGCTCAGTCCTCTACGGCTTCAGTCAAGAACGAGCCCGTCGGCGAGCCCAGCCAATCCAGCAGCGTAATGATCTTCCCCAAGCTCGAGAAGGAATCACCAAGTGCCAGCGTGCACGAGGATGCCGAGACCGAGAGTCCTGTTGCTTCCGCCGAGGATGGCTTTGAAGGGTGTGACGAGGACGATGAGTGGGATGCTTCTGAGGATGGCTTCCTGACAGATGAAGAGTACGACATTCTGGATGCTTCAGACGAAGAGTTTCTGGAAGAGCAGGAGAAGAAGCTTTTAAAGAAGTAGATATGCGCTGTATCACTGCGTGAAGACCAGCAGCAGTGCTCGCCGATGGGTATGTTTGCTGTTGTTTCTGTGTTGTTATATTACCGGCTGAACTGTAACTTTTCTTTGCGTTACTTTTATCTGCCCCATCTGAGGGTGCTTGGGGCTAAGATCATCTCCTCAAGTCTGTGGTTCTGCTGGCAAGGACTTTTTTTATCAATCCAAGCCGAGCGGGACACATGGGACATAAGACGGGGAGAAAATATCACTCGTTTACTTATCTAGGTCACCAGATAGGATTTTAAATCGACCTCTTGGAATTGCGCAGATGTGAAAGAACTGTGCTTGTTTTGAAATTGTAGTTTTGTCTCGTTGTCTACCAGACTAGACAGGAATTACGGTGATAAGCATCCCTTTGGGTGTTCGAAGGTGCCGATTGCGTACCGGGCCCGCTTTGTCTGAGATACCTAGCAGATACCTGGTTTAGTGCGTATAAATATGTATTTTTTTTATATTAGTGTGTATAAATATGTATTTTTTTTATATATTTATTTATTTAATTATACTAGCTTGCTATTTAAAGCTTTAGTACCTCTATTATAAAATATTACAAGAAAAATATAATTAAAAACCTATAATTATCTTATTTTTATACTAGCCTCTTATTAGGTTTAGTATATTTTTATTTATATTATTAAAAGGTTAGTATTACTAACCTAATACCTGGTTACCCTAAAGAGGTTTTTTTGCTTTTTTTAGGC